TCTGAGCTTCTGAACCACTTACCCTGACCCTTGATTACAAACCTCTGGGATGGTCTTTTGCTGCTTCGTAACAGGCAACTGCCCAAGCTAGGGCATCTCTCTGCCTTCTTGGCCCTCTTCCATGTGTGGCTGTGCTCAGGGATGGGCACACAAGGCCTTGGTCAAGACTGGGTGGTTGGTTTGTTCTTTCCATACATCTGCATCGGGCTTGCTCCCTGTGTGCCCCTTCCCCCTTCCAGTTTCTTCATCAGGAAGCCTTGAGGAAGGAAATCTGAGAGAACGTAGTGGATTCTATTGTTCTTTCTTGGGGGCCTAGTACCCAGGTCAGGACTCTCAGCAGGAACTTTGTATATCCCTGATTCCAGCCCACAGAGAAGACCTGCCCCAGAGCAGAGCAGCAGGTGCCCCGGGAATAGCACAGCCAAACTAGACAGAAAGATGGAGGTGCACCTGTGTATGGCGGGGGTCTTGAGTCACAGGCGGGGTGTGACTTCTCAGTCAGTTCCCTCTGATCCTACTTAGGCAAGTGCCCACTCAGAGGGAAGAAAGTCTACTTTCTGGGGATCCGGCCAGGGCTAATCAGGGATGGAAAATTCAAAGAAAGCAATCTTCTATAGCAAGACATCCCCTTCATCCCAACAGCAAGTTTTAAGATGGATATAAGACCCAAATCAGATTCCAACAGCCAAATGTCTCCCCTCCACCGGCAAATGGAGGTTTCAGTCAATATTCCTTTATTCGGTGTTTCCTGAGTACTTACTACGAACGAGATGCCATGCTTAGCGTATTCCTTTTCTCATTTAGTCTTCACAAAAACTTGTAAGGTACAGCCGTCCTCCCTCCTTCACAAGGATACCCTCCAAGACCCCCAGTGGATGCCTGAAATCGCCGATATTACCAAACCCTATATATACTATTTTTTTTCCTATATATACATACCTATGATAAAGTTTAATTTATAAATTAGGCACAGTAAAAAAGTAACAGCAATAACTTCTCCTTGGCATATCTGAATTGCAGGCATCACTATTCTGGAGCTTTGGGGCCATTACTAAGTAAAATAAGGATGACTTGAACACAGGCACTGCGATACTGTGACAGTCGATCTGATAACCAAATCAGCTACTAAGTGACTAACGGGAGGGTAGAGTATGCAGCGTGGATTAGCTGGATAAAAGGATGATTCACGTGCCTGGTGGGATACAGCAGGAGGGCACCAGATTTCATCACGCTACTCAGAGTGGGGCGAAATTTAAAATTTATGAATTATTTATTCCTGGAATTTTCTATTTAATATTTTCAGGCTACATTTGACTACGGGCAACTGAAACCTCAGAAAGCAAAAGCCGGATAAGGAGGGACTACTGTACAAATCATTAAGCCCATTTTACATATGAGGAAGATTGAGGCACACACAGGCAGTAAAGGACAGAGAAGTTATTTAATTCCACAGCTTTTGTTTTCCAGTCTCATGCTCTATTGTTTACAGCAAGGACTCCCAGACTTTTGGAATTCACAGACCACTAACATTTCAAAAATGATTTTGGGGAATAAACACAGAACCCTATGCCAACTATTTAGCCAAGGACATAAAAAATACCATCTTCTAGCACTATGATTTCATAAAAGGGCATTTTAACACAGAAACTGCAGCAAGGATACAACATTAGAATAAAGACAGCCTTCTAAGAAAGGACAGTTGGCAACCTTACCCTAAAATATCCTACATTGTTCTCTCCTTTTTTTGGTTAAATTTCAAACCTGGCCCAAACCTGGCATTACAGGGTGTGGGAGCCACTGCCCTACCCCAGAGCTGCGTCTTTAAGCAAGAGCAATGCCCACAAGCAATTAAACATCCAGAGTTTCCCATCCCCCTCTGCCCATCCAGGTCCCCACCAAATAAGGTCTGAGGTTGATACATAATAGTCAGCAACACTCGCATCCCACTCCCAGCAGCTCTTTTGACTCTCACTGACATTCAGTGGCCCTTCCAGGGAAGGAAGCCCATCCTCCCCAGCCCTTCTCTCTTAGACCCATATCTTTTTTGGGTTTGCAACCCACATCCCCTGCAGCCCTGCAGGAAGCGCACCTGTCTCCTGGAGGCACTCAGTTGTCCAGTGAAGCTGAGAGTGGTGGGTCTCCTGTGTCCAGACGCAGGGCCTTCCCCTTGCCGGGGTCCCCAGGTCCAGTCTACTGTGTTACCAGACAAACCAGAGCAGACCCCAGGCTTTCTAGGCAGCACTGGAAAGGAGAGGGTGTGAGACCTGGGTGGAGCAGTGGGGAGAGTACAGAATGTGGGGCTCCATTCTATACCTTCTCTTTGCTCCAGCCATGCCAGACTCAGAACTGCCTCTCCCTCCTGCACTTGTGCCTGCCCTCCTCCGACCTGTGTGAGCCAGCTGGGCAACAGAGAAGAGCCTGACCTGTGGAGCCCTTGGGTGGAGTTCCAGCTCTACCATTTTCTTGCTGTGGAGCATTTGGCAAGTCAATTAACCTCTCTGTGCTTTAGTTCTCTTCCTTGCAAACGGGAGTAAGAATGTGAGGTTGAATCGTGTGAAATTGTAAAAACTTGAGTGTTTGACCCACAAAAACTTCATGTGGTTTACAAATTAAGTATAAACTGTAAAGTGCTGGATACATGTCTCTCACCAAGTCTGACCGCTTCCTCCAGGAAGTCCTTCCTAGCTACCCCAAACTCAGTGAGGTCTCTCTCCTCCAATCTCTCATTGGTTGAGTCATGATTGAGCACACACTTCTTCCCTGAGTTGAGTTTTCTCTTCTTTCCTGAGCGTGAGTCTAGATTCTCCAGACCTGGGTCTCTTCCTCTGTCCCCAGACTGCTGGCACGTCACAGCTGTCCTCCATTAGGGTTTTCACTCAGAGGAGATGGGAGAAGCCAGGCCTCATCAGGGGTTACCCCATGCCTACTTCATCTAATGCTCATTTCTGCACCCGAGTGGTCCTAGGTGGTCCTGAATGAGGGGTGCTAACCAAATTGAGGGTAAGCGGGTGCTAGAGGCAGAGAAATTAAGGGGCCCTGACCCTTGGCCAGCCTGTGGCAGCAGTGTCCCAGAAAGCAGAATCGTGGTCATATCTTCCATCGAGTTCAAGGATCCGCTTCCACGGCATTAGCTAACTTCCAGGGTCCCTCACTCATGCACAGAATTGACATTTATTGATCTGCTCTCTGTCCCCCCTTGCGTTGCTGCTGAGATGTCAGATCTGTCCTACCCTCAGGCACACAGACTGCACTATGTAATCAGTGTTTAGGATGATGGGGGCTCATGGACCATGGGAACCAAAAACGGGGACAGGGGCAAGATTTGAGTGGCCAGGAAAGGGTTCCTAGGGGAGGGGATGCCCCTAACATGGGTCACTGGGTAGTCTGTTTGGGCTGACTTCCTGAAGCAGCGGTAGGGCAGACTAGCTCCTGGTTGGACATAGAAGCCCAAAGAAGTGAGTTAAATGGAGGTCTTCCCCCTGCGGCTGGCTCGCAGCCGGTTAAGAACACTCTCAAGGAGACCCAAGGACATTCAGGGATTAGGCCTCCAGCATCTGTGCACAGAACTGTCAGCTCAGAGCTGCTCAAAAGTAGAAATGCCAGCTAGCGGTGATATCATCACACTGGTCGTTCCCTCCCCCCCATGGGAGGTCCTGTGGTCCAGTGGGTAGAGCAGAAAAACCCTTGCTAGGCTACTCCCCCCATCTTGCTTCCAAAATTTCTGCTCTGAATGGGGTGTTGGAGGTGGTCACAAGCAGGCTAAGAATGAGAATAAAAAATCCTTTAAAGGAAAACCTCATTTTATTCCTCAGAGAAATGGCAAGGCTAGGGGACCTTTTTGCCTCCTTCCTGTCAGACTTTACAGAATTAACCCGAGCTCCAACCTTCCTTGTCCAACCTCTTCCCTCTAATGCTCCATCCCCATTTCTGAGCTAGTCCGGGATGTTGGCCCTGAAAGGATCTGAGTAACCCTGGGCCATCTTGGTGGCCCCCAGGCCAGGGAGAGGGGGTCTGGCGGCCTGGCCTGTGTGGATGGGTGGGGGGAGGGTGCCAGGCTGTCTCAGGGTGTTGGAGAAGAGCAGAGCTGTATCTCTGGCTGAGCTGGTGGGGTTTGTACATAAGCCCGAGACTGTAACCGGGTGGGAGAACACACACTGCTGGATCGCCGGCTGGCCTAGGGGTGAGGATGGCGAGCGGACTTAAAGGGAGCGGGGGCTGTGCAGCTGCTTGCGGGTAGGGGATCTGGGTGGAGCAGGAACTCCCCTAGCGTTGGTCCATATAGGATAGGAACCCAGGGGGAGGTCCACATCTAGTCCCAGAGTGCCAGGTCGCCAGAGGAGCCTGCCTGCTGGCCCCCCGAGGCAGCCCGCTAGTCTCGGAAACCCCCACGAGAACCACCTCCGGAGAGGTGCGTGCGGGGATCGGACCCCGCGTCGGTGGCTGCGGCAGGCGCGTTTCCTCGAAGTCTTACCTCGAAGCGCTGGGTCTCACCCGCGCCCTGTGCCTGCCGGAGTTTCCCCAACGCCCTCCTTGCCGGGCCGCTGTGAGGCTCGGCAGAGAAAAGACCGGCCGGGGATTCGCCCCTAGCCCAAATCACAGGAAAACCCCTGGAGCGGCCCCGACGCAGCGCATTTCTGGGAAATACCCTCTCCAGGCGCGCTGCGGGAAGGCCAGGGGCTCCACATCCAGACGACCCGCTCGCCTTCTCCGAGGAGGGTCGCAGACCCAGCTGAGAAGCAAAACCGCCCGGCAAAGGCGAGCCCAGAGCTCGGAGGGGAAATCGGGAAACCCCGCCCCCTCCCCCAGTTGTGGAGTGGGGGCATTCGCAGCTCAAGCTGGAACCCTAGACTTGGGGCGCGCTCCCAGTCCTTGGCCAAAGAAAGATATTTGAGGTATTAGGATTAAGGACGCCTCTCAACCCAGCCCCAAAGGCCCGGCGAGGGTCTATCCTGCGCCCCCCGCCGGGCCCGCCCCTCGCCCCCCTCCCGGCCCCCAGCCCGCGCGCCGCTGCCCCTTTAAGAAGCCCAGGTAGGCAGGCCCGGCTGCGGGAGCCGCTCCTATGGCAACCCGCGAGCTGCGGCGGCTTCATGAATATTCCGGGGCGCGGGAGCCAAGCTCTGCCGGAGGGCGCTCCGGGGGAGGCGGCCGTTGATGTAAGCCCGGCGGGCCGCTGGGCTCCTCTCGGCTGCGGCGGGAGCCCTGGGACGGGCCAGCCGCGCTCGGACAGAGGAAGCGAGGCGAGCTCGCGAGTGGCTGGTCACAAAGCCGGGGCGGCGGGACAGACGGACAGCTTGCCTGCCCGCGGGACGCACGCCCGGGAGGCGCGCGGGCCGTGCGCTCTGCGCTTCGGAGCGGTTCTCCGAGCGCCGGGGCCGCAGCGCCGCTTCTACCCGCGCCCATTGTTCCCCGCGGGGGCGGGGCGCCTGGAGCCGGGCTGCGCGCCGCGCCCCTGAACGCGGGAGGGAGGGAGGGAGCGCGGGGTCCCCGCGCCCAGCCCGGCCGGGGAGGAGGCGCAGCGCGGCGAGCCCGGGGACCCGGAGCCGGACTGGGAGCCTCCCCGCCGCACACAGCCTGCCCGAGCATGGGCGCCTGAGGCGGCCCGGCGCCGGCGGCGAAGGACGCGTCCCCGCTAGCAGACTGACCGGCGGGCGGACCTGGAGCCGGTCCTCGGCGCCTCACCCGCGCCCCTGCCCCTGGCCCGGCCCCTGCCCGTGGCGCCATGGACAAGCTGCCGCCGTCCATGCGCAAGCGGCTCTACAGCCTTCCGCAGCAGGTGGGGGCCAAGGCGTGGATCATGGACGAGGAAGAGGATGCCGAGGAGGAGGGGGCTGGGGGCCGCCAGGACCCCAGCCGCAGGAGCATCCGGCTGCGGCCGCTGCCCTCGCCCTCGCCCTCGGCGGCCGCGGGCGGCACGGAGCCCCGGGGCGCGGCCCTCGGGGCGGCGGACGGCGAGGGGCCGGCCCGCGGTGCGGGCAAGTCCAGCACGAACGGCGACTGCAGGCGCTTCCGCGGGAGCCTGGCCTCGCTGGGCAGCCGGGGCGGCGGCGGCGGCGGAGCGGGGGGCGGCAGCAGTCACGGGCACCTGCATGACTCCGCGGAGGAGCGGCGGCTCATCGCCGAGGGCGACGCGTCCCCCGGCGAGGACAGGACGCCCCCGGGCCTGGCGGCCGAGCCCGAGCGCCCCGGCGCCTCGGCGCAGCCCTCAGCCTCTCCGCCGCCACCCCAGCAGCCGCCGGCGCCGGCCTCTACCTCCTGCGAGCAACCCTCAGTGGACACCGCTATCAAAGTGGAGGGAGGCGCGGCCGCCGGGGACCAGATTCTCCCCGAGGCGGAGGTGCGCCTGGGCCAGTCTGGCTTCATGCAGCGCCAGTTCGGGGCCATGCTCCAGCCCGGGGTCAACAAATTCTCACTGAGGATGTTCGGCAGCCAGAAAGCCGTGGAGCGCGAGCAGGAGAGGGTTAAGTCGGCCGGCTTTTGGATTATCCACCCCTACAGCGACTTCAGGTAAGGGGGCCCGGCGGCGATCCTGTGGGTTCCCTGAGCGGGCGCGGACATGCTTCCTCGGCCCTGCTTCTCTGCCGGAGTTAACTTTCCTTCCTCGCGCTGGGAGCTCCGGGAGAAGTGGGGCGCCTCCAGGCTCCCAGACACCCCCAGACCTCCTTCTGCGCCGCGCTGGGAACTTTCCTCTGTGTTGTGGGTTCTAGTCCTGGTCCTCTCGTTCTCTCAGGGTCTGGGCCGCGTTAGAGGCAGGCTGAAAAGGTGTCCTGAGCCTGGCCTAGCGCTGCCGGCAGCCCGGATAAGGCTCTGCCACCTTAAGCCACACATCCCACCTTCCCCTTCTGGGCTGCAGAGTCAGGGTGGCCATCCTAGAGGCAGCTCCAGGTCATTCAGCCTGCAGAGCAGGGCCACAAGGGAGACAGACCTCTTGGCAGCTGGGCCAGCACCTGGGGTGCTCACCCCAGGCTTTAATATCTGCCTTCTTGTGGCCTGGGAAGCTGCAGCTGGGGAAGGAGAGCTGGGTCCCTGGAGGACTGAGGTTACTGGGGCCTCAGGTCCAGGAGAAGAGCCCTCTGCACCCACCTTAACTCTGGGCCAGCCCCTCATGCCAGGTGGTGGGCCCTGGGCAGCTGGCATCAGGACTGGCAGGACAAGATGACCTTGCTCATAGTGGTCAGTGAAGATGCCTGTTGTCCTGACTGATGAGCAGCTGTCCTGTGACCCCAAGCTTGTCCAGTGCCCCATCCTCACCCCAGTTGCCCAAGCCCAGCAGCTGCTAGGTCTCTCATGGGGTCAATCGTAGGTCCCCAAACAAACAGTGTGATTACCTGTCAGGGAGAGGGACCCCACCCCCTCCACTATCACTTGAGTCAGATGCCACAGAAGACTGCTGAATACCACTCGGGGCCTGTGGGGGGTATCTGCCAAAAAGAGAGATGGGAGATGGCCTCTGAAGTTGGGATCAGGGATGTCCCTACCCTAGTCAAGATTTGGGGTCCCCCAGCAGCTCCCTGGGCTTTCCTGATACACAGGATTGAAGTGGGGGTCTGGAAAATGTTTCACCCTTTTGAGCTGGGTTTAATTCTTTCTCTCTCTCTGGGCCCTGCCCCCTGTTTAGCTCCTATCCCTGCCTACCCTGCTTGTCTGCCAATATAAATGAGCATTTTGCCAATCCAGAACCCTCTTCGCAAACTCCAGGGAAGCTAGGTTTGTAATGAGAGCAAAGCCATCTTCCATCCAATGAGAGAGATTTCTCGTGCTGGGAGCAACCAGTCAGGCAACACTCGATGGCTTAAAATAGGTGGTGAAGAGAGGGCCCCCCCTTTTATTTTTTTGAGGGACTGCTCTTCCTAATGTTAATATCCAGGGTTCCCATTCCCAGAGAGTGTGGGAGGTCAGAGGATAGGCTAAACAGACAGCCATGGTCTTCAAGCTGTGTGAGCAAATGTGGGACCCTCCCATCAGAAACTGGGACTGGTTCCCAAGTGCCAGGTTCCTAAAGTGTGGCCTCCCCTCTGGTCAGTACCCCCTCAGATCTCAGCTTGAGCTAGGGAGGAATGGGCAGGAGCAGTGTCTCCTGCACCCCGCTGGGTGTCCTAGGCTCTCCTCCTCCCTCTGAACCCCCTGGTGGTGGTGGCAGGTAGGCTGTGCCAGTATCAATCACTTGAGGTTGTTGAGGGGCCCTCCCTTCCCTTGCTCAGCTCCCCGCTGTCTTGTTGTCTGAAAGCCTCTGTTCAGGGTTCTCATCATCAACCCCATCGCCTAGGGTTGGGGGAGCTGCAAGGGGCCAACTCCAGGCATGCTTAGCCTCCATTGACAACGGGCATTGACTGAACACCTTCTGCCAACTGGGCCTTGCCTTCCCAGGCTTCCCTTCGCCTGGATGGTTAAGGACTAGGACTGGGCTGATTGCATCAATGGGAACCTCCCCGCCTTCCTGCTCTTCCTCTGCCCATCTTGGCATGTCTGTCTGCAGTCCCCCTGATGCAGAATCTCCCACTAACTGCAGGCTGCCTGGGACATGGTGGGGAGGGAGGGTGATGGGGATAGGGAGGGGTGGATGCAGCAGGATTGATAAACAGGCAACAGGAAAAGGGTCAGTCCAGCCTTTGAATTTGGGTTTGTGCAATAAGCAACAGGGACTGGTAGCTGAAAGCACATGTCCTCTGCGCACAGCCTTCTAGCTGCCTGGTGCTGGGTGGGGTGTAAAGAAAGACATCTAAGAAAGACCATCTGTGTGCGTCTGGAGGGGCAGTGGTCATGCCTCTCCTACACCCATGCCAGAATAGCTGGTCTCATCTTCACAAGGTCAAAGAGGCAGGGGCCTGGCTAAGTCTTCTAAGCTTAGAAAACCCATCGCTCAACCCTGCCACCTGGCCACCCCCACCCCACCGCCCAGCACCCCAAACCTCAGTCCCTTGAGTTTCAGCCACTGGTCTTGAGCCTCTATATGGAGCCAAACCCTACTGCCCAGCTCAGGCTTCACAAGAGCTTCTGCAAGCATTGCTCAGGCCAGTCGAGGATTTATTCATCATTTTGACGGGCAGGAAGCATTGATCCAGCAGAATTGGTTTAATAAAGAATCACCAGCAAACCATGATAGATTGAGTTTGCGGTTTGGAGTTCAGGGCTCACTGTCACCAGCTGCTTCCGGCATCTCCTGTCCCTGGGGGAGGAACGTTGGGTGCCTTTTCCAGGGGCTGGAGTGGGCTGTGCTCTGAGGTACCCTCATAACCTGGGCCATGTCTAAGAATAGGTTTGGCTATCTCTGCTTCTCCTCACCCCTCCATCCCCCACCGCTCTGCCCACTGTGCCCTGGCTGCCGCCTCCCCCCACTATGTCCCAGCCACCCCCATGGCTCCTCCAGGCTCCACGGGCTCATCTGGCCTCCCCTCCCCTCCCACTCCCCATTTGCCTTTTGAAACTTATATTTAAGGTTTGGTGAGGGAGGAGGCCAGGACGTACAGCCCCTTGGGATGTTGCGCCCCAGGATCCAGCCCAAGGCTGGTTGGGCTCTTGGGTCCTGGGCGGTTCCTTCCTTTCATATGAGCCATGTCCTGGAACCTGAGCTTGGAGGTGGGAACTTGGAACAAATAAAACATGGTGTCTGCATGATCCTGTTTTTCCAAGAGGAGAGAAAGGGAAAGAAAAGGAGTGGGAACCCTGAGTGAAGGTGGACCTGGTTTTGTTCCCAGAAGCTGGTCAGGCTTTCAAGTGTCAGGCTCAGGTGTGTGGGCCTGGGTGTGTGTATGTCTAGGTGTCTCTCTGAGTAGGTGTCTTGGGGCTGTGTGGATAGACATGGAGGTTGGCAGGAAGTCCCTGTGTGTGATGTCAGTTCTGGGGCTACTCTTGTGCCCCAAACTCTAGCTTGGCCTTGAGAGTGGAGGCAGGCAGAAGCTTGGCCCTGCTCGTTCCTCTGCCCCTTCCCTCTCCTAGCCTGAGACATCTAAATCTGTGAGGAAGGGGAGGGAAGGGAGGGTCCTAAAGGGTCCTTTCCTTGGGGCAGAAACAGCTGAGCTCTGAAATCGTGGAAACTGAGCCAATGGCCTGGTAAATTCCAAGGGTGGCTTAAAACTGACTTCCTTTGCTGGTCCCTGGCCCCAGAAACTGCCACTGCCCACCTCACATCACCTGCCCAGCCCTATCTGCTATGGGGCCCTGCTTGGGTTATGAGCCTTCTCTGAGCCTAGTTTTCCAACCTAGAAAAATGAGGATCCTGTAGCCTATCTCCATGTCAGACACACTGTACAGCTGTGGTCATCCCGTGGAGGTGAGAAGCTCCAGTGCACCCTCAGAGACCACTGTCCAGACTGCCCCTGCCCTCACTGCCCTTAGTCCTGGGTGGACCAGAGGGGCCTCTGTCCTTGACTCAGACCAGTGGTTCTGAACCTGCGTCAGAGACCTAACTGAGAACCTGCTGGAAACTATTGAGTCTCTATCCAGAAAGATACACGTACGTCTAGACACACGCAATATGACACTCAATTTCTGGGGTCTGTGGACCCCCTAAGTTGAAGCCCATCTAGGTTGTGAGCCCCACTGTAGGCCATCCCAGAAGAGCATCCTGGCCTGGTAGGAGCAGGGTGCAAGCCTCCTAGAGCCGTCTTCCCTGGGGCCCTCTGTACTCTGAGGCTTGGGCCTCCTGTTGCCAGCAGGATGAAAATGAAGATGCAGGGCAGAGTTAGATGTCTGAAGAAGGAAGGCTGCTCTGCTCGGGGACTCGTTACTTGTCTGTTTCCTGAGTCTCACTCCCATCGCTCTCCCTTTTGACTGTGAGAAGGACTGTTCAGGTGGGAGGTGGTAAGGAGGAAGGTGGCAGCCTGGCTCTAGGTCGGGGGTTCTGAGGCCCCTTCTTGGGTGGGCCTTCCTGGGGGCCATGGCCCAGGAATGCTGCTTCTGCTGTCAGCGTGGAAAGCCAGGCCAAAAGGAGCTGCAGCCTCGGCGGCAGCGCCAGGGGAGGGGGAAGGGCGCCTTGGTGCAGAGGGGAATTCCAAGGTGAGCTGCCTGGGCGGTGCTGGCGGCTGGCACATTGGGCAGCAGGGTTCTCCAGTGATGAGGACGTGCTCCACTGATAAGACTGGGGCTGGTGGAGGGTGTGCTGTGAAGGCCAGCACCCAGCTCGGGTCTGAGGTGCGCTCGGGATGCCCAGTGCCCAGAAACCTGCTGCGGCCATCGAAAGGCTTCAGTTCCTGGTCTGGCTGCTACATGATGAGGCTGGGGGCTTCTTCCCTGCCGGACCCTGCCCCATTTGTTCCCTTAGCTGCTGTGAGGTGTGAGGCTTTGGGCCTGTCAGGTGGCCTGCCTTGCACAGTGCTGGGCTGACTGCCTGTCCATCTGCCCTCCTCTTCCATGCTTTAGGGCTTCCAGTTCTTCTGGGATGCCCTCTCAGGCCACCGCGGCCACCATCACCTGTCTCTCCTTCCCTGACCACCTTATGATGTTTGGATGGAGCTCTATGTTTGTTATAATACGGTGCTTCTCACACTGTCATGTCATCCAACTCACCT